TGGGAACTTTCCTTTTTATTTATTACTTTTTGTTGTTGTTGTTAATCCTCATCCAAGGATATTTTCCCACTGATTTTTAGAGAGAGTGGAAGGGAAGGGGAAAGACAGAGAGAGAGAAACATTGATGTGAGAGAGACACATCGATTGGTTGCCTCCAGCATGCACCTGACCAGGGCCAGGGCTAGGGATCTAGCCTGCAACCAAGCTATATGCCCTTAACTAGAATCGAACCCGGGGTCCTTCAGTCTGAGGGCTGATGCTCTATCCACTGAACCAAACTGGCTAGGGTGAGCTGAGAACTTTAACAGCACTTTTCTCACTTAATCCTGACAACAATCTTGCAAGGATAAGAATCATTAACCACCATTTTACACTGAGAAAATAAAAGTAGAAGTCATTAAACTACTATAATCTGATTACAGTTCTGCATAATTTCAAAGTTTACTCATTACTTAGTTACTTGTGACACATAGACAACTAGAATGCAAGCTCTATAAAAGTAAAGATCTTGTCAGTTTTTTTCACTGTAGAATCCACAGCTCCCACAAATAATGCCTAACACATAATGGGGTATTCAATCAGAATTTGTTTAATGATGAATAAATGCCCTTAATTTTTCATGTAGATTCCAGAAAAGAAAATAACACTGCTCACAGAGTCTGGTCTAGTTAAGAGGTCAGTGGTTTAAGGCAGGCCCTTGTCTGTGCACCTCAGACTGTCACGACAACCTGATAGTACCATCCCACTGCAGCAAATCCTTTGCCTCTGGGCAGTGTCCTCACAAGAGCTCTGAATAGAACATAGGTCATTAATTCTCACACTGCTAGGCTGGTAGCGCTCCTGCCAGCTTGGCAAGAAGGGGACCATCACCAATAGTGGCATCTTGCTCATCTGAAGGGCCCACAATCTACAGCTTCTGCTATCTAGGATAGAAGCAAGCAAAGGTGGCACTTGAGCAGCCAAACTAACTTCCCCATAAACAAAATATATTTTATTTTGTATAAAATTCCTGCGAGTCTCACTCAGTTTACCATAAATCTAAGTTCACAGCTCACAGCAAAGCAGAAACAGCAATTAAAAATGAATGAACCAAAGAAGAGGCAAGAAAACAAAAGAAGAAATCATAACCATACATTTGGAATATAGGCACTGGGGTAAATAGCATAAGAGGCCCTGAAGACATGCTTGAATTAGCCAAAGAAAGTTAACACTCTGCTGACAATAATCTGTGATAAGAAAGACTTACTTCAGCCCTGGCCAGTTTGGTTCAGTGGATAGAGCATTGGCCTGCGGACTGAAGGGTTCCAGGTTCGATTCCAGTAAGGGGCACATACCTCAGTTGCAGGTTCCTCCCCAGCCTGGGCCCTGGTCGGGGCTTGTGCAGGAGGCAACCAATTGATGTGTTTCTCTCACAACAATATTTCTCTCTGTCTTTCCCTCTTTCTTCCCCTCTTTCTAAAAATCAACAGGAAAATATCCTCGGGTGAGGAAAAGGAAGGAAGGAAGGAAGGGAGGGAGGGAGGGAGGGAGGGAGGGAGGGAGGGAGGGAGGGAGGGAGGAAAGAGTAAAGGCAATGCTTAAAAATAAAATTTTAAAAAAAGAAAGACTTAACTTCAAAAATGACCAAAATTTTAAAAGATGTAGTACTGAGGTTATAGTTCAAAATACCTGAAAACTTACTGATGTAAGGCTAAATAAATGAGGCCTTAATAGAGGATTCCTTCCGATTTCTACTAAGGTCCTTAAGAAATCAGCAGTGCTTTTACTAGTAAATGGGTCATAAAAATCTCAGGTTCTTGATATCCAATACAACCAGGGATTCCTCTCTGATGCCTCGATGTCTATTATCTAATAGTCTAAGCCCTGAGCTGTCCACACAACTTTCTAGTTAGATGCTGAACTCTGAGGTTCTCTCATATATGATTAGACTAATTTAAGCACACATTTTGCTAACATTACTTTCGCCTTCAAAGACAGTAGCTTGTGACTGATCCTGAAAACTCCCACTAGCAGGTTACTCTAACCACCAGAGGCCTGAGGCTGCAGCAAGAACATCTGAAGCCAAGGCAGGCAGAAACTACGCTGAAAAAGAGCAGCTCGCCACTGGCTCAAAGCAGGATGACAGCTTTTGTGTTATTTTAGAACAATTTGTGCTGATGAGCTTTTTGTTGTGGTAACATTTCTCTAAAAAGAACATTTTCTTCCTCCTCTCATTTTAGAAAGCCATTCAGTAGAAAGTGGAAAATGAAGGAAGGCAAATGACAAGGATATCCAGGAATTGGTGAAGCTTGGGCCATATCAACTTAACTGTTGTGCCATCTGTCTCCCAGTCCCATGGCCAGGCCCTTGGAGGGAGATCAGGACACCCCCAGCCCTCATTCATCACCAGAAATATGACTCTATTTCCAGCATAGAGAATATTGAATCCTGTGAGGACCAGTAACACTTTGAGATGTGTCCTTGCTCAAGAACCTACAATTGCCAGGTTCAAGAAGCACACATAGCTCAGTCTAGTTGCCTGGGCCCGCTTTCTTTTCCAGATTTTTGTCCTGCAGTTTTCTATCACAGTCACTCTGTCTAACTAAACCTACCTTCACATTCTCTGCTCACACTCATTCCCTATAACTCAGGCTGCCCCACCCTTTCCACTCTATCCAAAATCTACTTTTCCTCCAGGAAGTCTATTTTTTCCCCCTCTTACCAGTGGTTCTCAACCTTCTGGCCCTTTAAATACAGTTTCCCATGTTGTGACCCAAACATAAAATTATTTTCGTTGCTACTTCATAACTGTAATGTTGCTACTGTTATGAATCGTAATGTAAATATCTGACATGCAGGATGGTCTTAGGCGACCCCTGTGAAAGAGTCGTTCGACCGCCAAAGGGGTCACGACCCACAGGTTGAGAACCGCTGCCTTAGACATTACCTAGTTCAATCTAATACAAGGATCCCCTCTGCTGACCAATTAGTGGAGTGCTATATTCTACTTGCCCATCTTCAATGACAGGAAGTTAACTACCTACCTACCTAGTTACCTACCTACCAAAGAAGCCCTTTCCATGATGAGATAGTACTATTAGGCAATTCTTTATTCTACTAGAATATGCTTATATTTTACTTTTCCTACATTGGTCCTGGCTCTGCCCTTAGAATAAGAGAAACAATTCAGCAGTACTTAACAGCATGAGCTTTGAAATCCGATCTGTGCTCATGTTCAGTATGTACTTGAACAAAATGCTTAACTTTTCCAAGGCTCCAGTCCTTAATAACAATATCAGCTTTATAAGGCTGATAAGAAAGTTAAAAGAATAACTATGGCTCTGGCTGGTTTGGCTCTGTGGTTTGGATGTAGGCCCATGGACCAAAGGGTCCAGGGTTTGATTCCCAGTCAAGGGCATGTACCTTGGATGCAGGTTCAATCCCAGGCAAACAACTGATGTCTCTCTCAGGTTGATATTTCTCTCTCTCTTCCCCTCTCCTCCCCTCCTCCCATTTTCTCTCTCTAAAAAAAAAGAAGAAGAAGAAAAAGAGCCCTGACCGGTTTGGCTTAGTGGATAGAGCCTTGACCTGCGGACTGAAGGGTCCCAGGTTCGATTCCGGTCAAGGGCATGTACCTTGGTTGCGGGCACATCCCCAGTAGGAGGTGTGCAGGAGGCAAATGATCGATGTTTCTCTCTCATCTATGTTTCTAACTCTCTATCCCTTTCCCTTCCTCTCTGTAAAAATCAATAAAAATATTTTTTTTTTAAAAAAGAAGAAAAATCAATGGAAAAGATATCCTCGGGTGAGGGTTAAAATAAAAAAGAAGAACTATGCAAAAAGCTTAACACTGTGCCTCACATAGTATAAGAATTTAATAAATCATAGCTAGTGTTGTGGTTTTCATCGTTATCATCATTGTTATGTAAGTCTATTCCTCCATTTCTTATGTATTTGAAAACAGAAATTGTATTACCCAAGTTTTTTCTTTTCCAGGCTAAATTTTCTTCACTAGACTGTAAATTATGTGAGGACAGATGTGTCTGCCCCACTTACTGCCACATCCCCATGTCTAGAACTGTGGCTGGCGCATATATAATAGACACTTTTTAATATTGAATGGTCTCCATTTCATAGTTTCTGTGCTCTTCATCAGCCACGTCATGCTTCTCTGTATAGGTTCTCACTGTTACAAATGCCTTTGATGAGGTGAGATCCAAAACTGAACTCAAAACTTGAAGGTGAGCTAAACAGCAGAGAGAGGAGACTAAGAATTCCTCCCTCATGATATACACCATATCACTATTAAAGATTTGGCAAACTTGGCAGCTTCACCAAACTGCTGGTTCATGTTGAGCTTGAAATTAATTGAAACCTTTAAATCTTTTCACACATGATGACTTCGTTTTCTGGCCTCTCTGGAATTGGAACTGTAGTAATGCCAAAATGTGAAACAATAACATAGTTTTTTCCATTTAGAGATTCTTCTCACTTTTACTATCTGGACTACTCAACTGGTTCCCAGCAACTGCAGCCTGGAATTAAGAATGATATTTTTAGGACCATTTGTTTCTTCTTCCCAAATAGAGTATAAGCTCCTAGAGGGCAAGATCTGTCTCGCCTTCTCTCCCACTTGCCAACACAGGGCTGAGCACAGAGTAAGAACAGATTGATGCCCTCTGTCTACAGCAGGATTGCAAGAAGATTCAGGGGGACTATAAAGACCAACCTTGGGGCTCTCTCTCCCTCTCAAATAGCACAGCTCAGTCAGTGCTGTGCTTCTAGCTGGTAGGTAAGTGGGAGCCAGTCCAGGCAGAGATACAGACATAAGGCCTGCACTCTGAACAGCTGGCTCCTGAAGGACTGCTCTGCTGAGAATCACTTCCCCTGATAGGGATGAGTTTCTAGAGAACAAGCCAGTATCAAAGCCATCTCTCCACAGGGAACAGTCTGTCTAGAGAGCTTTCAGGGACTGTTCACAAAGGAAGAGAAGAGAGCAACAGCAGGGTGAGAGGGCTCACCTCATCACTTTCTTCCACATCCACATCACCATTGGCATCATCATCCATCAGCTTGTGGATGCTGCGGACTGCATCAAAGCTGAGCTTCTCATCCTCACTGTGACACAGGGGCTTGTCAATCCGGCAAAACTCTGTACAGGAAAAGCAAGAGATAACATTACTGGGGCTGCCACCCAACCTCCATTACCCACCTGTCTCTGTCCTTAGCTTCTAGCACCTGACTCCTCATGTAGCCACTTAATCAGCTATTTATACAGAGAGAAAAGTGCTTCATCTAGCTTTAACTGCCTCCCCAAGGATTTGCTGAGCTCCCCCATTTAAGGACAATGCTTTCCCATCCTTATAGTTCTTTTGCAGGGAAGTCAAGCATGGACTAGGAATACACTAGGATCTAGGACAGTGATGGCGAACCTTTTGAGCTCGGCGTGTCAGCATTTTGAAAAACCCTAACTTAACTCTGGTGCTGTGTCACATATAGAAATTTTTTGATATTTGCAACTATAGTAAAACAAAGATTTATATTTTTGATATTTATTTTATATATTTAAATGCCATTTACCTGACCGGTTTGGCTCAGTGGATAGAGCGTCGGCCTGTGGACTCAAGGGTCCCAGGTTCGATTCCGGTCAAGGGCATGTACCTTGGTTGCGGGCACATACCCAGTAGGGAGTGTGAAGGAGGCAGCTGAATCGATGTTTCTCTCTCATCGATGTTTCTAACTCTCTATCCCTTTCCCTTCCTCTCTGTAAAAAATCAATAAAATATATTAATAAATAAATAAATAAATAAATAAATAAATGCCATTTAACAAAGAAAAAATCAACCAAAAAAATGAGTTTGCATGTCACCTCTGACACGCGTGTCATAGAGTCGCCATCACTGATCTAGGACATGAATAGGTAACTCAGAAAAAGAAAATAATATAAATGAGAGAAAATACAAATAGCCTGTGAACATAGAGAAAAGTTTAGCCTCACTAGTAATCAAATAAATACATATTCAAATATTTTTATTCACTCAATAAACAAATGTAAATTAATACAATCTTTCTAGAAACAAGAAAACACCGATTCATTCCAATGCTAAAATAATATGTAGTTTCCTTTTTGTTCACTTTGTCACTACTGGGACATATAATGGCTACCTGGAAAACCCTTCACATCATAGGCCTTCCCACAGTTACATTCAGCAAGTATCTATCAGATATCTAACGTCCAAAGCTTATCTGATTTGAAAGTTTGGGAAGTCTGAGATGCAGCTTCCTCTGTCCACCATCACCCACAGTCAGTCCTGCAGAAGTAAAACCAGAACAACAGCCTAGGCCACCCTAGTTCTTTTATGACACCTAATCATCTCTAGCCTGACCTACAGTATACAGCAGAAAGAATTTGGAAACTAGTCTTAGCTCCACAATGTGGCTCTAGGGTGGTGACTTCCTTTCTCCAGGCCTCAAGTTCATTATTTAAAAAAGACATATTTTAATTATAGTTTCAAGTATTTCTTCCAATTCCCAGATTCTAAAATTCCTTTTTCCTTTGACCCTGACCTTGATTACTACTTTCTAGGCAAAATATTCTTCTGACACCTCCAAAGAAGTTAGAAGAAAGACCCTAACTTCCCAGATAATAGAAGATGCTATCAAGAGAGAAAGCAAAGACAGGGAAGAAGCTACTGCTTCAAAGCCTTCTAGAAGGCACTGATCTAATACCTGAACACTCTAATCCATTTAATCATTTACTTGTCTGCTGGTCAGACAGTGACAAAACAGGCCATCTCCCTACCACTTGCTAGTTGCTCAAATCCTTTTAAAATCATTGGTAGCACACCTGAATCACACTGACTTGACAGATTTCTGACCCAATCGTTCATTAGTCTGCATCCACATCCACACCCAGGTTTATCCTAAGTAAAGCACAACTTCTTTTTTTTAAAAAAATACAAAAACTTTTAAATGTCCCAGATGTGATTTAATAAAAATATATTGAATACTGAAGTTCATAGATGTTAACTGATATGTCCAAAGTCAAAGGCAACTGAAGAGCCACAGAAAGAACCCATCTACTGATTCCCAGGCCAGCACTTCACCTAATTGCCTTTATGCCAAAGTGACCAGATAGCTTTAGGTTTCTTTCATCTTCTGGAAGCCACAAATGGTAATACTGGTGAGAAGTAGTATACTGAAGAAATGGCTTAATAAAAGAAAAAAGATAAGTAGTATGCATACAAAATAGTAAGATAAATAGTATGCATATACATGGAAAATAGTATCCATGTAACCATATGTTCTTCTACATTTGTCCTGCCAATTTGGAGTAAGGAGTAGAGGGTGGGCGGAAGGAGTAGTGGGTACTAATGGGAAGAGTAGAATGTAGCCAAAGATTAAGGCATTGTTTTTCACTTTCTCACCAACAAGAGCTCTTGGCATGATTTTTTCATTTATGGACTCCTATCCTACCCTTTCAAAACAATTGCAATAAAGCAATAAGTAATGACTAGTTCATAGATAAAGTACACAGCACTAAGATTAGCACAACCAATATAACACTTTCACTCCCTTATTCCTGTTTCTGTATTACTGAAAGACACATATAATTGCCCATCAGAGTCTTTTGATCAGCATAGGATATGTCCATTTAAACAGCATTTATTGAGTGCTCTTCATATGTCAGTCTCTGTAATGGGGTATAAAGATATGAATTAGATCTCACCTTTGCTCTCCAGGAGCTAAAAGTGAGGGAGATAGGCGATTAAAACACTATGTGCTAAGTGCCATAAAAGAATCAAGGTTACTCTAGAGGTCAGGAAACTTTTTCTGTAAAAGGCCAGTCAAAAAACAATTTAGGATTTAGGGGCCATATAGTTTCTGTTGCAACTACTTAGCTCTATCATTGAGCACTAAAGCAGCAATTGACAAAACAGAAGTAAATTAACTTAGCTGTGTTCCAACAAAACATTATTTACAAAAACAGGCTGTGGGCTGGATTTGACCCCTCGTTCATAGTTTGCTAACCCTTATTCTATAAAATCATTGGTAGCACACCTGAACCACACTGACTTGACAAATTTCTGACCCAATCTTTCATTAGCCTGAATAAAGGAAATGTGCCTAAGTAAAGCACAACTTATTTTTTTTAATTAATATTTTTTAAACATATATTTTTATTGGTTTCAGAGAGGGAAGGAAGAGGGAGAGAGAGCTAGAAATATCAATGATGAGAGAGAACCATTGATTGGCTGCCTCCTGCACGCCCCCCACTGGGGATCGAGCCTGCGACCCAGGCATGTGCCCTTGACTGAAATCCAACCTGGGACCCTTCAGTCCACAAGCCGACGCTCTATCCACCAAGCCAAACCAGCTAGGGCGTAAAGCACAACTTCTAATAGGCTTTTTAAAATAATGGAAATCGTTTACCAAGCTCAAGGGACTGCATGTCTCCAGGCTAAGTACCTGGAGTCAGCCAGCCCCTTTCCCAAAAGCCTATATACAACAAGTCCAAGAAGTTTATACTTCAAACAACAGGCTCTGGTTTGTAACCTGATCAAACGGACAGGTGACCTTTACTGCTGGCATCATCTGGCATAGGGAAGGATTAGAGGGATTGAAGATAAGAGAGTATAAAATCTTGATATCCCATATGGCTGTAGAATCCTGTCCAGAAGAAAGCATGATTCAGCCAAAATTCACAAGTAACTCCAACCAAGGATTTCCTAGGCTGTCTCTCTTTCCTGAGACCTTTTCTATTTTCTTTTATACATTCCAATCTGGCAAGTTTCCCAGAGCCATCTGGAAATACCTTAGAAGATCCACCAATTTAACAACACATTATTATGGCAATGGAGCCCTAGATTTGGGAGTCAGAACACATATATCAAAATCCCAGCTTTATCAGTTACAACCATATTATATTGGACAAGTTTTTTAAATTCTCTGGGCCTCCAATATTTCATTTGCAAAATGAGGATAATTATTTCTGTCCCATAAGGTTTTTTGTGAGAATTAAGACCACATTTGTTAAAACACCTAGCAGAAGGCCCTGCACAGTGTGGCTCAGTTGCTTGAGCATTGGTACCATGCATCAAAAGATTGCTGGTTCAATTCCCAGTCAAGACACCTGCCCAAATTGCAGGCTCAATCCTCAATTCACCTCTCTCTCTCTCTCTCTCTCTCTCTCTCTCTCTCTCTCTCTCTCCCTCCTCCCTCCCTCCCTCCCTCCCTCCCTCCCTCCCTCCTCTCTCTAAAATCAACAAAAACATATTTTTTTAAAAAGCGATAATATTATTTAAAAAATAAAAACACCTAGCCCTAGCCAGTTTGGCTCAGTGGATAGAGTGTCGGCACGTGGACCAGAAGGGTCCCGGGTTAAATTCTGGCCAAGGGCACAAACCTGGGTTGCAGGCTCCTCCCTGACCAGGACTCATGCAGGAGGCAACCAATCAATGTGTTTCTCTCACATAGATATTTCTCTCGGTCTTTCCCTCTCTCTTCCACTCTTTAAAAATCAATGGAAAAAATATCCTCGGGTGAGGATTAAAAAATAAAGAAATAAAGAAATACACCTAGCTGAGGGCCTGCATAAAGCTGACATTCAATACATTTGTAGTTTCCTTCTTTCCTCCAAGAGCAACAGATAAACCATTTCCATCTTCAGCCATTTTCCTTGTGAGATCATAAAGAATCAAATACAGGAAGTACAGTCCAATTAAATTGATCAGTCATATGTTCTGGTGAGATAGCAAGTAACTCTGACTCCCACAACATTTATATGTCTACCATGGGTAACATTTATCACAGTCTATTTAGTTTGTTTTCCCCATCAGACTATGATTTTTTTAAGAGCTTCGGACCATGTCTCAAGTAGTAAGCAAAAAACAGTTTTGCTATATGCTCAGTAAATGTCTTTTGAATAAATAACTAAATACCAATTCTACAATTATATGTAGGATTTTCTAAGAGAAGAATTCTAAGTAGAGAGAATAGCACAGAACCAGGTTTTGTAATTTTGGGGGTGGTTAAAATTTTTAAAACCCAAAACTCTTTGATATGTACCATATTAGAAATTAAAACACAAATTCTAATATTTAGCAATTAATTCATTTTAAAACAATAACTCTCCTATGTGTTAATATAAAT